TAAAGAAAATATGTAATTTACGACAGATCTGTTCAACCACAATCAGTTGCAGGGGCTGAAGAGCAAATTCACGAAGCTTATTCTACTCAGTTTTTGTATATTTAGGACCTGAACCCTGTGAGCTAGATCCAAAAACCCAATTTTTTCTAATTGTGTAGGTGTCATTAAGCCCAATGGATATTTTCCTCAACAAGATACTTGATCACGGTGAGAGTTGAAAATACCCTAGACAAGCCAGCGACGAACTCGAATCACCTGATTGGAGTAAATCAACTTTGGGGATCATTCGAAAGACATTATAGGAATTAGTTCTTTTCAATAACGGTAGCTTTTTGCAATCACCGGTGTTCAGTCCGTTCAACTAACGGCTTACATTACGCGATCTCTCTCCACATCCCCTTCGTTGGTGTTTACTTGACTATTTGTCTCAGTATTTTGCGTTTGTTTTCCACTCGCGACCTAAATTTTTAAGAAAGGATTGTTATGTGAATAGGATATTCATAGATCACAAAGTGAAGACAATCTTAGTATCGCACTTTCTCTTTCGCACACCATATTTCCACCAATGCGCGCCAAATAAACCACCGATGAAATGCTGTTCCTGCCGCACAGCCCTTGTAGTCTATGACCGTGTTTTCAATCGTTGTTTTACACTTTACGTGTGGTTTCACTCTATAATGATCAAACATGTCGATGAACTCTTACATATTCCTTGATTGGGGTTTTTCTTCGTTCCGTCTTTTTACATTCACTCAGATGAATTTGCAAAACTTCTCGCCCCGTTGTCCGGACACAAAGTGATTGATCTAGTTCGTGCCCGATTCAAACGAGTCTAATAGTCCTCGCTGCCTCCCTGTCCCCGTCCGTCCATGAATCTCTGCATCATGTACAGCTCTTGTTGTACAATATATGTACCTTTCAGATCATGACTTCAAAACGGATTGTTTTGTGTTTGTGAATCTACTGCGCATGTAAGCACTACTCAATTGCGAGAACAAAATTGGAATAAAGTGCCCAATATTTTTGATGAGATTCCCACTGAACACTCCTCGAACAGATTCTGGTTAATTGATATTCCAACTCGCTTTGATTTCTCAGCTTGAACCGACTAATGCCCTGAGCTCCATCTAATTTTGTCGGGGTCCTGCATGCCAAACGTATTTTAGCATGTGAAAGGAAAATGAAATATCGCATTCGAGATAACGTGATCTAAATGAAACCTAACCACTTCCCGGTGATCTTACGTTCAGTCCGATGTTCGCTAAGATGGGGGAATTCCTTCATGACTTCATTCAGAAATGGATTGGTTTGGTGCAAGGTTTCGGTTCTTATTATTTTCCACATGCTGTAGCAATCGTCATAAACAATTTATTGAGTTTGTATGTGCTTTAGGGGCAAAGGGCATCACTCATCTGGCCACCCATTCCGATTGATAGGACTGTACGGTAATGTGTTTAGAAGGACGATCTTGTTCATCCCCGCAAAGGGTTTAATTTGCTTACACACTCAGATATGAATTTGTTGACTCAGTATTTGTGTGTACCCTTTTCAGGTTGCCTAGTCTTTTATAATAATGCTAAAAATGCATGAGAACTGTGCCAATTGTCTCATCAAGGGGAACAGGCGAATTTATAGGGATGATGATGTGCAACGGACACGGTTCAACTGTTTGGTTTTCTTCAAGCCTATGTTTCCACCACTAGATCAATCGATAAATTTTGGCTTGATCTATTGTGTGGATCATGTGTTGTGTTGTTCGGCAACGTCGCATCACCTGGCGCGTTATTCTTAATCGTTGGCGAGCTTCCCGAAGTCGTTGTTGTTGTTCCATCGCTTTGCGCCGCAGCCATCTGTCAAAGAAACAAAAAGAAGTGATTGTTTGAAAATGTAAATAGTGCTTTGGGTCATTAGCCGACACAAGAAACACTTCCCTGTCTCTGTCGTAATAGTGTTAGTGGCAATCATGGTAGATCGATAGGTACCATATTCTAGTCGCGTGAATCTCCTTTGAAGCTGTGTTCGCTCTAATTATTACTCCAAATGATTTTCGGAAGAGTTCGCAGAAATTTGCTTATATTTTAGTAGTTAACTCAGCTCTCATTGGGCCGCCACCTTCGCGTATTGGGAAGAGTAAATTACACTGCATACTACATTATCTTTGATTTTACGGTACTCTTTTGGATAAATGATCGATCACTGTTCTATTTCCACCTATTTGATATCCATTCAATCTTCAAGAAAAGGAGCTCAGTCAGTCGACGGCTGTCAGGGAAAATCGTTTGGTGGGAAAGCATTTAGTTTTAAGCGCCTCGTTTGTTTCAAGTTCGATTGGCTTAGTGGTATTCAGTTTACAACGTTAGGCATGAGATCAAAGTACCGAATAGCATACTGATCTTTGAAGAAGAGAAAGATCCAATTAAGAAACACTATTCGAAGAGGGATCCACTGCGTGATACGGCGACTGAAGAGTCGCTCATCAATGAAGGGAACGACGAGGTTACAAATTCACGTTTCTAGCTTGAGGTTTATGACCTGATGGGTAACAAAGGGTTTCTTTTTAATTCACACAACTCACCGTTACTTGTGAGTAGTAGGTTTGGTGTGAGACTTTCGGTTGCCGCTAACGGATAGTCAACAGCCTCCCTTCGTTGTTGTCGGTCCAAAAATGAACTGGTTTATCACTAACGAAGACGACGCCGGAGCAAACACGAATTGCCAATTCGGTTCAGCTCTGCTGTGAGCTAGTCAGTACAGGGGTTATACGGGCTTTCCATGCAATGGGTCTGGAGTTCAACCCCCCGATGGAACATTGAAGATGCACTACTGCTAAGCTTCAATAAGTGCTAAACTCAATTCTAGTACTTCTGATTGTATGGTTGTCTAAATGAACTGGTGATTGTGCGTGTAGGTGAAATCTGAGGGATGGTCAATCCAAATCAATATTTCGTGTTATTGTTCACTGAATCGCTGAACCAACTGATCACAATGAATCCTACCAGAATAGCCAATAGAAAACTTTACTCGTTAAGTTAAACTACTGGAATAACGATAAATTTTAATTGGAAGCATAGTTTCCCCGTAAATTTTAAGCAAAACCACGTTCTCTATCCCAACCGAGTATTATTAAGAATGGGCTCATCTTTTGCCGGGTACTATATCTACGCATTTGCTAAATCTACTTGATACTACTAGTGATTTCCGACATGTTTTGAATTTTAATCAAGAGAAATCAAAATGTCTCATGGCTAAATACACACTGAAACCAACATCAGCGGATGAACAAAAACCTCTAGTTGTATTCTTTAGAATCAACGGACTGAACCGGAAAGTGAAAACTAAAGCTCAAGTTCATGTTACTGAATATGAATCATGCTCTTGAGGTTAGTTTTAGGAAGTGTACAGTTGTCAACGTAGAGGGGATTATCATTTTCAAAAGTAAGCATCTTATGTCAGCTGGAAAAGCGTTGAATGTGATACTGGCCTACTAATACTACCTCAAATTTAAATTAATGAGCCGCGGGGAACTTGTGATGACCTTCGCATTACTGTTTATTCCATATCCACGAATTCGTTCGAGATGTTTAACGGAACAGTGAGTGAATAGTGTCCAAAGTTGTGACAGCGGAGGTATGCCAAATATCAGATTGATTTCAATCGTTACAATTATTTTATGGTTAGAGAATAATGACCATTGATTTTGCGTAGCCAGTTGACCGCTTGGTACTGACTGCGTGAAATGAGAACGCATTTTACCACTCATTTTTTCACAGGTACCTAACCAATAACAGCACTAACTTTCCTTTGTCCTGTAATAATGCCATTCATTCCCTTTTCCCGGTCTTGGTTCTTCTGATATCGATGCAGCAAACTGTTCTCTACCGTGGATTATTGTTACCTATAGACATATTGGGATTGCTGTTTACTGAATATGGTGCGCATCATGTGATTATCTATCCATGCATATGCAGATGAGCTCTGTTGAATGGCGTCACAAATTTTTTAGCAAGCATTGAGCCACTAGATGATTATTAGCAGTCCAGTTGAAATTGTTCGTGGAAATTAATTTTGAGGTCTTTCCCGACAAATTGTACTTTCAAATTCTGTTGGTCCTTGCCAAAAATTGATTAGATGAATACCAAATACATCATCCTTTAGAGACATTTTACCCTTCAAGAATGCGGCTTTTAAACCGTGAAACGTACTCCTGAAACGCCTTTTCACATTCTTTCTTCGAATGTGTGACCGTGAAGTAAGTTCGTTCCGCTTCTTGATGCTGTTTGAGTTCACGCTCTTGACGAATCTGTTGCGTTTTCGCCTTCAACCAAGCCGACCACTGCTTCTGTCGTAATTCCTGATCCAAGGCCTGGGCGACAATCAAAAGTAACAAAATGGTTTATGTGTGCTGTTTCCTCATACAGCGGGGGGGGGGGGGG